TCCTCAGCTCTTGCAATAGTTCGCTTGCGGACTCAAAGCCGAAACCCTAAACCCTAAACCCCACCTGTAAACCCTAAAACACAGTACATAGATCCTAAACCCTAAACCCTCGACAAACCCTTAACCCTAAACCCTAGATATAAACTCTGAGTGCTAGATCTAAACCCCAAACATTGGATATACAGCCTAAGCCCCCGATATAAACCCTTAAACCCTAAACCCTTGAAGGAAAACCTAAACCCTAAGTGGAAACCCTAAACCCTAGCTACAAGCCCTAAACCCTAGGCGCCAACCCTCCACACTAGGCTGAACACTCTGGCCCTGTTGTTTTGTCCACGCAAGCTCCAAACCCTAAACCCTAAACTCTAAGTCCTAAACCCTAAACCCGAAACCCTTGGAGCACTTCATTTTCCTGCTGCGTCTCCAAAACGAAGCGAAACTTCGACTACCACGACAGCCCCGAAACAGCTGCTGTTGCAGCAGCAGCAGCAGCAGGAGCTGCGTTCTGCTGCTGCTGCTGCTAAATGGCTAAATCCACAGCAAGGCTCTTTGCTTTGGACTGCACACTGGCAGCACCCTGCTGCTGCTGCTGCTGCTGCAGCAGATGACGCTGCTGCGGCGGCAGCAGTTCCTGCTGCTGCAGCTGCAAATGCAGCAGCAGATGATGATGCTGCGGCGGCAGCAGTTCCTGCTGCTGCAGCAGCAGCTGCCGCTGCAGCAGGCCCTGCTGCAGCAGCTCCTGCTGCCGCGGTGTCCCTTAACTAAACGCCTCCCAAACACTAAACCCTGAACCCTAAACCCTGCTGGCCTGCGGAGGTGCTTCAATCGCTGCTGCTGCTGCTGCTGCCGCTGCTGCTGCTGCTGCTGCTGCTGCTGCTGCTGCTGCTGCTGCTGCTGCTGTCGGGGGCTGGCGGCAGCCGCCCCTCTTCTCTGGCGATGCGGATCATCTCGGCCAATTCCTTGCGGGTTTTCTGCAGCGAAACCCAAACCCTAAACCCTAAACCCTAAGCCCTAAACCCTCGAAGACCAGCAAGCCCTCCACAAACCCTAAAGCAGAACCCTTGCTGCTCGCTAGGGTTTAGGCCTCCCCAAGTTTCGGCATTTCTGGAGTTAAGGCTTCGCTAAACCCTTAGGGTTTGAGGCTTTCTAGGGTTTAGGGTTTAGGGTTTGGCCTGCCTCCTTGAGCAGGTAGTGTCTGTAGTTGTGGTGAACAGCGTCTTGCCAAATGTAGATGATGTTGGCGCCTGCCCGCAAACCCTAAACCCTAAACCCTAAACCCTAAACCCTAAACCTCAAAACCCCAAACCCCAAACCCTCGCCCGCGCCGCCAACTCGGCGGCCAGCTGCAACCCCCGAGCGCCGAACCAGAACGTAGGGTTTAGGGTCTAGGGTTTAAGGCCTGAGGTTTAGGGTTTGGGAACTAGGGTTTAGGGTTTAGGGTTTACCCTGGAAAACAGTGAAGCCAATCATCGTTGCTGCAACAACAGCATAAAGCCGATCGTAGAGGCGCTCGCGGCGGATGTGGAATGCGCTGTAGCTAAACCTGCAGACAAACCCTAAACCCTAAACCCTAAACCCTAAACCCTAAACCCTAAACCCTGGATCTGCTGGCGTAAAGGGGGAACTGCAGCTGCGGGTTTCGCCTCACCTGTTCCAGATGAACTGAAACGGCTTGTACCTCGGGCCTGCCATTTTGCTGCGGCGAGGGTTTAGGGTTTAGGGTTTAGGGTTTGGGGAGTAGGCGCGGCGCGCCCAGTGCCGATTGTCAAAACCCTAGACCCTAAACCCTCGTTTCCGGCACGCAGGAACTAAAAGTGCTCATCAGGCAGACACCAACAAGGCCTAGGGTTTAGGGTTTAGGGTTTGCAGCTGCGAACAGCATCAGCGGCAGCCGCTGTAGGGGGGAATGAGAGCCGCCGTTGTTGCTGCTGTTGCTGCTGCTGTTGCTGCCGTTGCTGCTGCTGCTGCTGCTGTTATTGTTGCTGTTGTTACAGAAAGCTGTATAGCTGGCGCCATGCCTGGGTGGATCTCCAGGAGCAGCGGCAGCAGCAGCAGCAAGTTGGGTCTGCTGCAACAGCAGCGTAGAAAACAGGTAAGACTTCAAACATGAAGATGAACTCTAGTTGAGCAGCAGCAGCAGCAGCAGCCGATGCGCCTTTTGGCGGTGCTGGAGGTCAGAAGGCTGCTGCAGTAGCGGCATGCAGCAGCAGCAGCAGCAGCAGAGGCAGCAGCTGCGGTTGTATTAGCAATTAGAACACGGTTTAAATAGAGACTCAACTCCTAAGCTTACTGACGCGGCTGCTGCACGGGAAGCAGCAGCGGCTGCGGCTGCTGGTCTATTTGCTGCTGCGGCTGCTGCCAGTTGCTGCTTCCGAGGGCTTTGTCTTGACTTCTTCTTTAACCAAAGACATGGGGGCCCCACAGCCCAGCGTTCGTGCTGCTGCGCTGCGGTGTCTTGCTGCTTCTGCTGATGCTGCTGTTGCTGCTCAGACTGAGCGCTACGCCCGTGCTGCACTTGGCGACCGGTCTGCTGCTGTTGCTGCTGCTGCAGTTCGCTGCGGCTTCGCCTTTTGTTCGCTGTCCCGGGAGCTCGTGCGCCGCTGGCTGGAGGAGCTGCAGGCTGCTGCTGCTGCTGCTGCTGCTGCGCCCTTTGCTGCCATGCACGCGCTGCTGCTGCTGCTGCTCCTCAAGCAGGGCGACCACATGGGCCAGCTCAAGGCCGTCGCCGCCGTGCTGCAGCAGCAGCAGCAGCAGCAGCAGCGCGCCCCCGTCGTCGACGTCGTGCTGCTGCGCCTCGGCTTCCAGCTGCTGCAGCAGGAAGCAGACCCCCGCACCCACAGTTTGCTGCTGCAGCACGCGGAGAGCTGCCTCCGCAGCAGCGAGGAAATGGTGGTTCTCGAAGCAGCACGTTCTCTGTGTCTCCTCGCAGCAATGGCGCAGCAGCCGCAGCAGCAGCAGCAGCAGCAGCAGCAGCAGGCGTGGTGCGGGTACAGCAAGCTGGTGTCTTACGACATGAGCAGCAGCTGCGCAGCTCTGGCGCAGCTGTG